GGGGGGCCGAAAGTTGGGCAGATTGAGACAACACTGTCGTAGGGGGTCCGGGGCATGCCCCTGCGACATTTTTGTGTTCTAGACGCACGAACATAACATTTGAGGCATTCTTGGCTATCATTTTTTTCTTTTTCTCTCTTTTTTTCCCTTTTTTTATCTTCCAAAAGGGGGGTGGGGGCCGGGGGCCGGGCCGGCCCCACCTAAATCCGCCCCTGAATATCGTTGAAGTATAAATAGGCCTTTATTCTACATTCCAACATTATTGAGTAGTTGGATAAGTAGTCTTTCTTCCATAGATCGATGAACTGATAGGCCTGAAGAACACACTTTCGTACATAAATTATTACGTCGAGCCAAAACAGTGTTTTTAATTGAATGCTAGTTGGGCTAAGCCTATTTTGTCTGATCTGCCAACTTATGCCTAGGTAGGTTACATAGTTACCAACCTGAGTTATTTGAAATGCCTGATTTGAAACGAGGGCCGGCGGCCAGCAGAGCCCTGCCAGGGTCCAGGGTCGGGGCCCCGGTGGGGGTTCGGGGGGCGATACCCCCTTGGCATTCTGACAATCTGAGCATTTTTAAGCTGTTTTTAGGGAGTGTTTATTGACAATATCAGGTACATAAACAAAATATTTTTGCCACGTACAATTCGAGTTTCAAATGTATGGTTAATTTGAGCACCCAAACTATGTACACAAACATTCATTACTCAAACAAAAAATGAATAGGCTGCGGTGGTGAACCTTTCCTAACATTCGACACTCTTTCTACCCGTCCTGTTATATTCCTACAATTAATTTGTTTAAAGGGCCAACATTTATTTTGAGTTGAGCTCACAAGGGCCAAAAGACAATATCTGAGTACCGGTGATTAAGCAAGTTGTTTATAATGTTTTTGGTAATTTCACTTTTATTTTTTGTTACAATATATGGTAACAAATTCTGTAACTTTAAGCAAAGAATACGTACATAATTACCAATATTCTTTTCACATCCTAGTTGGTTGAAACAATATGAAATTGCATTCGGTGTATAATAAACGTAATAGTAACATGAACATTAAAAATATATATAATACGCATACTTTATAAAACATAAATTGACATAATTTTCTGATAGATTTATAAACAAATTAAATAACATTAATTAAATGAACTATATTTAATGATATAGGCGTATTTGCTACCATCAACCGTAACACATAATTAAAGTAGGCGTATCGTAGAAGAGAATTACTAATGGGCATTGACCTCAAAAGTACTGTAGAAGTACAGAAATAATACTTCCGCTACTTGCTGGAGTGTTTTTTTGTGGATGCAGAGAAATATGGGTATATAGAATGACTAGAAAATAAGTGTGATATCAAAATTCCAAAAGAGGAAACATGTTATAAAAATATCCTGTTTTCTTTCTCTACTTCTTATGTAAAACTGGATTTAAACTTTAAAAACATTTCTACAATGTGTATTTTAGGCTTCATCAATACTGTATTGCGAATGCATCAACAGTCAATTAGTCAATTGATTGAATAACGCTTTTGTATCATTGGCACACCTTTTTAGTGTAACCTTACAGCGACTAGACAATAATTA